GCTAATGGTGTAAAGTTAATTATTTTGAACAATTTATACAAATTTGAGATCCGTGGATACATTGTCAAAAAAAGAAAGATTTTGGTCCATTGGAATGCCGCCCTATAATACTCAAAATAGTGTGCTTACATTAAATAAATTCAGGTTTATGATACAATCCGTTGGCTCCGAATTTTTATTTCATCTTTAAATAATTACATAAAAGTTCGAAACTATTTGTTCTGGTAAGTTTTAAAGCTGTAATTGTATTTAATACATCATAATACAATCAAGGCAATCCAAATTCCAAGGAACCCTCCAACGAAAATCTAAACATGTTTACTCCAACTTTTGAGTAAATCCCTATAAGCCCCTGCCTTGCTGGAATGTCTTTGAAAGTGTAGCAAAAACGGTGCACCTGGCCGCATACCGCGAGCGCGGCCTTTCAACTTTTCAACCAATAAGAATCACCGGAATCTATTACCACGCCCACACTGCGCTGGCCACGAGCGGCTCACGTGCAGACTCGCACCACGAGCTAGCTTTTGACACAATGCGTGAAATGCGCAATGCACCAATAGGCATGTGCATGTATGATTTTGACAAACAAATTGGCAAGTATTCACATGCTAATAACTCTACATCAAAAGGGCTTTCGCCTACAGGAATGGAATTTCAACGTACAATAGGTTATTCAACAATAAAAAAGACTAACTCAATGTAGGCTAAAATGGACGCGATTTCGTTGGCAACAAACACACATGATTATTTCGTGCTTGTCGATATTCCAATTTTCTTAAGCTAATTAAAGAGAATTGCAGAATTTTATCGCACAATATTCAACAATGCAAAATACAACCTCATGTACAGAATACAATACATTATGCTTATTGCAGATAACATTACATTTTTTTTACTTAAATGCGATTCAAGGATCAAAGTCAAAGAAAAGAATGAATATTTTCTGACTCCACCTTTCTTCGAAATGAAGTCTCAAATGCAGGCGGATATATCATATACCATGTTGCTCAAAGTGCAGAATATTGGGACGCTTTTTCCTCTTTTGGTTCTGTGTGACGGGAGGAGAAGATAAATTTTCACTCACCTCGATAGTTCCTTAATTAAAGTTGGACTTACCCCGACGAACTCCAAAGCTTGACTTCAGTATTTTCCAAAAACGTCATTCATATCATTCGACAAAATTATGAATTCACAAAAATTCCATGTGTCCATTCAGTTCAGTTAAGCATAAAATGAGCATTCAAAGGAATGCTTTGCGAAGTCCAGTTCAGTTCTATAAAATAAAAGTTATGACAAGTTCTGTAGGCCTACAGCAAAGTTCAAGTCAGTCTTTCAATATGGGTGACGACGACGCAACATGTCTGCGTCGAAGCTTTGCAGTGACCCCGTATATGAGGCCGGTTTTCTGGTCGATTTGCAAGACCCAAGCGTCCAAATGTGATGTTTTTTTTGCGCCCATGAAGACTCCAGGGTATGATGTACAAGTTTCCGCGTTGGAGGCTTGAAGCTGAACGGCAGACTCGGAGGTTAAAGTATCAAGTTGTGCTTGTGAAATTTTGCTGCCTGCGCCAGTACAGTACAGTGCCCGTTGACCCGGCCCCGTTCTCGGTAATTTTCCATGGCGTACTGATATGGAGGTGAAAAGTGTCATGTTTTATATCACTGGCTGTTGCTCCGTACTGGTCTTTGCGCTGCCTTGGGCCGAAGCACTCAATGTGTATTTCTCCGCATTCTAAATTTCTCCACTTATACATATAAAACATTATGTCAAAAATTTCATCACGTATGGAAATTGTCAATTACAGAAGAGGAAACAAATATGATGGAATAGTCTTCATTTCAAGATGGAGTAGCATCAGTTTCGGGAAAAAAATGCCCTATTTTTTATATGACGGGAGGGCGTTCCAGGAAGTATCCGTGACGTAGCACGCGTGGCTCGCGTGGCCTGTCTCTCATTGGTCAGAAGTATGTTGGTGACGTCTTCTCGTCAATCTAGCCAATTTGATTGGACGAGGGAGTCTGGTTAAAGAAAAATGAGCGGACGAAAATGGTGTACATTTGAACCGCTCAAGATAACGTTTTAACCGATTTTCGGCTAGACTTGACAGACTGCTTGAAAAAAAAAGCGAATTCAGCAGAAAATCTAAGGAAATTTGTACCAGATTGTTAGCAGAATTCTGTAAAATCGGTGATCCTATTAAAAAAATATAGCAGATTTTGTTTTGAACATGCTTCAATCAATTTAAACAAACCCTTGAATACTATACTAGCGGGGATAGGCAGGCATGTTCCTAGCGTTGAGATTCCCTGACGTGTACGACTACTAAGTAAAGTAACTTAATGGAAGCTAGGCTAGACACGCGGCCAATTTTAAAAAATATTAACCTACTAACTTTTTTAAAGAAAATTTTAGAATTTTTTTAAATATTTTTTTTTACATTTTATTCTTTTTTGCTTTTCAAAGAGAAAATCGTATAACATCTATATGCGAGTATAATTGTTTTTAATGTTTAGTGTAGGCTAATTCTGGGTGATTTAGCATATTTTTGTTAGAGCAGTAGTCGTAATTGTAAACTGTTGCATTGTGGGGCAGAGGGGGGGGGGGGTTGTGGCCCCGCCCCCTGATGCCGAAAGGGTTAACGTTGAAAAAAAGGTCTGGACCTCACTTTTTCCACGGCCGGTGATTTTCTATGTTGCTCCCCCCCCCCCCTTATTTCTTTGCTCTCCCCCCAATAATTTCTTTAGAGTCTGGCGCCGCCACTGGCAGCATTAACAGATTACTTCCATTTCAGTGCATGCACGGTGCTTTATTCACCATCTTCTAATGTACAAGAATATACATAAAATACAGCCAGGATCTGAATTATCATCAAACCGTTATACAGGAATTTACAATTTACCATTCTATGTCGATTTTGTCTTTTAGTTTTACATCATACTTCCCGACTAATTAACTAAAATTTTGGCTGGAGTGAACACATTTTTTCAAAACATGTTTCCAATACATCTACGAAATAAATGGGCTGGTATGTTAAAATTGCCCATCCGTGCTCTTCCAGTTCAACATACTTGATTTTTTTTTCCTAACGAATTTTAAATTGTATGTTTTATTTAAACGGAAAAACCTTCTTTTTTTCTATTTGGAACGTTTTCAGCCCTCTGAAAGAAATCTGTAAAGTAACGATTTCTATAACTTAACATGGCAGATTTCTTTGGTTCGATGCCTCGTTCAATAGCGCATATTTTTTTTGTATTGCCAGAAACATAAAACACTTAAAAACAAATACCTCGCGGTGAAACACGAAAAAGCACGGGGAGAACAACTTTAATATATGCACTTGCAGTCATGGATGACTGAGCACGAACTGTTACAACTGATAATGTAACAACCGACAGAAATTGACCGATAATGTAGCAGAATGTACTACACTATCAGTCAATTGTTGTTACATTATTGGTCCTAACCGATACTGTAAAAGAAATTGACTGATAGTGTAGTAACATTTATGTACACTACCGGCCCATTTTTGTTACATTATCAATTAGTCATTGTCATATAACCGACATACAGATCCTTGTCATTTGATTGGTGGAACTCACATCACGTGGCATTCGTTATTGCTCCCATTCATACCGCGGCTAAAAAAGTACTATCCGCCCATGGGGAATGGGAAATGGGAAATACTATTCAGTAGTATTTGTGAATAGTATGGTCATTTCTGTTTTAGCCTCTGAAGAAGAACTTGCTAAGTTCGCAACGTCAGGCCACATTAATTTTTAGATTCAGTAGTATTTGTGTGCAAATGCATGCTAGTGTGCGCGTTCAGCGTTGCGCGTAACGCGTATTGTTCCAAAGAGCCAGCGCTACAGCGTTGGGTTCAAACATTTTCTTGAAGAGGTGGTTTGGAAGAGAGAAATACATTTTCTCAAGTTTTGTATTGAAAAAAAGTTCAAATATATCAAATGACAAGGATCTATATGTCAGTTATATAAAACAAATATTGAGTGGCTTTAAATTGTGAAATGGGAGGAATATTATCGCTCGGTAAAATCTGGACTTTTCCATTTCAATCGGCTTCGCCTCATTCCACGCTGAGCCACTCAATATTTGTATACATGTAATATAGTATCGGTTGGTAATTGTTACGTTGTCGGTTGTTGATACGTTATCCGTTGGTTACTACATTATCAGTTGTAACATGCACAACTGATTTTACAAGCTAAAAAATATTTGTTTTTTTGCAAGTTGGAATGATTTGAGCAGTGATCAGTAAAAGTCACCGTGTTTGAATGAGGAGGTTCACAGCGACAATGCATCATTATTACCAAGTCATTTACCTCAAATGAAAAAACAAAAACAAAATTACGAAATGTCATCCTTAAACTAAACCTTACCCATGCTTCTATGTTAAAAAAAAGACTACCCAAAATAGTCTTCTATTCATTTTTGAAAATTTTGACAATTTTGAAATTTCACTTACATATGTCGTACATGTATAAGAGAACAAAATATAATTGTTAGCTGATGTAAAGACATTTCCTCTGCCTAAAGAAATTTTTGCCTTGATAAATTTGTCTTTTACTATACCATAGATGTATTTTTTTGCATTGTAGCTATACACATATACAATGATTCACAAACTGTCTTCCCCAAAACCAAGGGACAAAAATAAAATGTAAGAAGGGATGCCTCAATAATAATTTATATAATAATTGTGCTTATATAGCGCTTTCCATCGTATCAACGATCTCAAAGCGCTTTACAATTATTACCCCGTTTATCAGGCCATGGGACCACGCGGCAGCCGATATCAGCGCTCAATCGGTCCTCAACCCTCACAGGTACCCATTTATACTTCTGGGTGGAGAGAGGCAATTGTAGTTAAGTGTCTTGCCCAAGGGCACAAACACCATCTTCCTGGCAGGGTTCGAACCCACGCACCTTCGTATATGAGTCAAACACCGTAACCACTGGACCATGGCGTTCTACAATGAGTATGCTGTGGTCACTTCAGTTCGGGGCACTATTTTTACGATGGCAATTTGCGTTTGGGAGATGTAAATTTAATATTGGGTTCTGCCCTTCACCGACATATATTTTATTAACACTGTATAGCAAAACCTCACTTTGTATTATCTTTTCAGGAAAATGCACTAGACATCCGCTGTGCAATAGGCCTGAGACCTTATGACGTCACTCTTTGTTTACATGTGCGCTTTCGTCTGGCGTCCCAACTTCGCTCCCATAGCCATAGGTAAACAAAGCCATTACGTCATTAGGTCTCAGGTCTATATGGAGCATGCAATAACAGATATTATCTTGAAGTAAACTTGAATCCTTGATCCTAATTGGTTGATCCATGGCAACAAGCTGTGCTACATATAACCATGTAGCACGGCCACGGTCCATACCGCACTCCATTCGTACAACTTGCCTTCCTTGGCAAAAGAAATCATAACCACAGCAAACTGCTCAGATGTTTGCTGGTTTCCGAAGGCATTTTTATTTTGGACCTTGTGGATGGAAGTCAGATCCGTGGATTTCTGGCGTGTACGTTAGCAGTACGATCATCACCCAGATATGAAGAAGGATCTGCAGAAAAATGGAGAAAGAGAAACAATAATTGACGGAAAAGAGAACAAAGTATGATGATTTCATTTCAATGACATACATGTAGATTTGTATAGATGACCAGGGGATGAGGATAGAAAATCATGAAACCTTTCAAAAGTTGGAAATTAAAAAAGGTTTTTAATAACTCCTTTCACCCTCCTGCTATTTAAACAGTCACAGACAGTGAAAATTTCCATCCACTTCCCCTGCTGTACTTTTTACACAGGCTAGTCACCAGCAGTCAGATCGTATGTCAAGCAAGCACTGTGACTAGTCAAACTCGGTCAACAGACCATGAACAGACAAAGCAGGAGAGTTGTGGGCACAGCTGGCTTCTCAATAAAAGCTGTATCAAGTAACATGAACAGTCACAGCCAGTCAATCCTGCTTTGTGTAGGCTGGGAATTTGTAACTAATGAAACAGTCACTTGATTGATTTTGAATGAAAGGACAACTTGGCACAGAATGTAAGTTTGCATAGAAGGGTCAATCACTTCACACTGACTGGGCAAAATCACAATCAGGCATTTTTTTTTATTTCAGCACAGAAATCTGGAAAAGGGGGATCCTATGGCCCAATCCTCCTCTCCCCACCCTGGCAAAAAAAGGGGAATTATAATCCTCAAAATCCTCTTGGATCTAAAACCATAGTTAACTTCTAAAATTTTGAAAACATATCTCCATATTAACCAGATGCCTAACCGCTTGTTACAAGGTTCACGTACCATATAGGCGATGACAAACAACCTCGCGATTGGGTACCGTCGCAAGAACACTCCCAGCCGAACGCTGAACTTATCAATGGTGTTGGCCGCCCGTTTGACGTTCTTGGTGACCACAGCATCCAGGGGAGTCTCTCGTAAGAATGACGGTAGTCCTCGTTGCCTTGTTCCTGGGAGGAAAAAAACAGGAGGGACTTCCATTAGTAACTAGGCTTGGACGATATTTTTTTTTTATATCGAACAATACCGATTGATGTTAAACTACCAAAATACTGAAAATTGTGGTATGGAGTTTCTGACTGGTGCATTCAATTTTAGGCTAACTAGTACAGTGCCCGTCTAAAATGTGCATGTTCGGGAAGGTCAAATTGCTTGGCCGCTGGTATTGGTTGCCTGCAGCGTTTTTGAGAACTTCTCGTGCAAACAACGTACGCAATTCAATGTCGTTGTTTTCACAGGTTGAACGCACACGTACACTCACAGATTGAATGCACATTTTTTAATGTGGACGGAATTATAGTAAGAAAACGTAGAAAAAACTGTGCTATTGTTAACCCCATGTTGGTAATGGAATAGCCCCCCCCCCCCAGTGAAGTACCCATTGTTGATAATGGAATAGCCCCCAGTGAAGGTCAGCTCGCTCTCTTTGCACACGTACGTACACGCGTGCAGTGTTTACTGTGACATCACACAACTCAGTGGTGCCATACGCGCGCGTGGTGTTGCGTCATATTGAGCACACGCGCTTTAGTTTTACATGACGTAAACAATGGAAAAGAACAGCAGTGCGTGGTGTTATGTTCTAAGCTATATACTCCCACATTTGCCTCAGAAAATACTGCTTTTTTGCAGCTTTTTCGAGAACCACTCATCCAAACCACTTCAAACTTGGCACTGCACATTCTGTGGTCCCGAACAATATACCGGCCGATTTTCAACTTCATACGGCGCCCAGTTCTGGAGATAATCGAAATACCGACAGACAGACAGAGATTCTTGGAATTATAGTTAGATGCATGGCACACGTAACATTTGATTGGCGCGTTGTGAATAGTCAGAAATTGATTGATTCTAAGTTTGAATAATCAAATACACAATTATTTGAAAATGCATGAGCACCATAGGCATCCAATATTGCACATGCCTATCAGTAAATTTTTCAAAAGAAAAAGCTTCCAAATAAGCCTATGGTGTAAATCTATATGTGATCAAATCTTGGGGACCAACGATTGTGGCACGACAGGATTTCCCCAAAACCGAGTAACATTCAGAAATCTTTTTTTTGTTGGTCCTTTTTATTGGTTAACAATATTTTAATATTATTTTGCTTTTTAACTGTGAACAAGTAAAAAGACCAAATCATTCAAGTTTTTCTTGATTTAATGCCTTCCTATATTGCACTCTATGCTACTAAATGTTTTTTTACCCTTAAATTTGCTATAAACAAAAGTGAAAATTCTCATAATTTCCAGAGTCTTTCCACAACTAACAGGTGAAAATATATATATTTTAAATATGCAAATATGTTGTGAAGGTAATTGTATGTATGTCTGTATCGTCATCTTAATTTCCCAAAGCGGGATACTAAAGTTCTTATCCATCTATCTATATAGCCTTTCCGGAATACCTACCTTCATCGTCATCTGAACTCCTCATGGTAACAGTGTGACTTTCACTCCTGGCTGTATTCAACTGATGTTCCTTATATTGCCTCTATAAAACAAAAAGCCATACCACAATTGAACAATGAGTCACATTTTCCTAGTCTTCTACATTTCATAACCCTTCGGGCTTTGCAAAACCACTTATGATGAGTGGGCCACATTGTGCCTTCTAACATTGAACAGAGTCCTGCAGAGAGTAGTTGAGAATACATCACCATGATGAAAGAGATAAAAAAAACATTTGTGACAAGAGGAAGCATACCTCGGCTCTCTCCAGCTGCATGACCAGTGAGTTCTTCTCAGTGCTCAGCGCTTCCAGCACGGTCTGTTTCTGGATCAGACTCTCTGTCAGGGCATGAAGTCGGGATTCCAGCTCCATCTGAGAGGTACTGCTGGTATTCCTAGCTGTCAGCTGTAAAATGCCCAAAGAAGAGTTGTCGTCTAGTCATCACAAATCCAATCACAAGTCATTCAGATTCAAGTCAAGTCACAAGCTTTTCCAATGAACTGTGACAAGTATTAGTTTGTCACTGTTCACCCTCTGTTTTTTGTGACCTGGTTTGCATGTTGGACTAGTGATGACCTTGACTGGAAATCTCATGCCAAGTGTGTATAAAACGTTTTGCGCTGCCCTGGCCTAGATTAATTTTTTCAATACAACTAGGAGCGCTGTGGAATTGTGGTCGGGAGCAATGAATTTGTGGTCTGCCGTAGTAGTGCCTGTGCCCTTGAACAAGGCACTTTGTCAATCATTGCTTCTCCACGCCCAGGAGTAAATAGGTACCTTTGAGGGCAGAGATGGTTACTGTGTTTGATTTAAGCTGCCTTGCGCCAAAATGGAAGAATCAAGCTGTATATTCGCTAGGGAGCTGATGAGATTGTCTTTGGAATGTTTCATTGGCCCAATGAGCGAGGTAATAACGATGTAGCGCCTTGAGCACTAATGCTGGTGGATACATGTGCTTTATAATAAGGGAATAAATGTGTGCTCCAGAGGTTTTTATCACTCTGTTTAAGACCACTTAGAGTCTGGGTGCTGATAATTACCCGAGCCGGAGGCGAGGGTAATTATCAGCACCCAGACTCTAAGTGGTCTTAAACAGAGTGATAAATACCAACGGAGCACATATTTATTCCCATTCATAAATACCTTTTCGGTAAAAAAAATCATATAATTCGTTCAAAACATCCCGATTTTGTTCAACAAATTCACTTTATGCTTTTTGAAACATCCCTCTTGCAAAATAATGGAGTGTTCAGCTGGCGAGTAAGATGTAAACAACCCTTTTATGGAGATTGACGCGCGCGTATCGCGCAGAACGCACCTGGCGCGTTGCGTTTTGAATTTAGAACTATAAAATTCTGACTCCCTGGTAGTGTTGCGCATGCCTACGTGAGGATTGTGAACGTTCAACCAATGAAACGATAAGAGGCACTGGATTTTTAGGAGTCCTCATTTTATTGTCACACTGAAAAAGTGTTTAAGACCAGCTAGCCATGTCTTTATCATCCGTTTAAGACCGGCCACGTGACGGGCTCTCGACCAATAGGAATGCGTAAACTGTCTTAGGTATTTATGAATACACATTATACATGTAATGGTACCATTAAGGAGACACGTTATCGTAATTTCTTCGCACGTTAGGAGACATCAGTCGTTAGGGAGACATTTTCATGTCTCCCTAATGTCACAGCCCCCCTTTAGAGGCAAAACTTTACTGTCGCACTTAGATTATATTTGATGCTTGTGGTCTAATTAGTGAACATACGGAAATTCGTGGACAAAGAACAAGGGAATGTTGGGTTAGGGCACATTTAAGTTTGAAAAATTTTGTGCACAAAGTCTATGGGAATGTCTCCCAAATGTGCAATCCAGGGTAATTATTATTATTATTATTATTAACTTACTCCTTGAACTATGTTTGATTTTGAACAACATCCGATTGCCATTTTAAACGCTGCGCATGGATTCCTTCTGAAGGACTTCTCCAAGGTCGTCTATCCACAGATTTCTTCAGACTTGGTTTCACAATACTTGGTTTCATTAAGAATAATCATGACAGAAGTAGACAGGGGTCAATATCTATTGTTTTTCGAGACTGTAGAGAGAGACTCATTTTATTTGTCCGTACCTGGTTTCTCAGTTTCTGAATCTCCTCTTCCCTGTCCTGCAGCCTGGTCTGCAGGCTCATCTTGGTCTTGTGGCTCTCCGCCTCCACGTATCTAAGCTCCTCCCCCTTCTGTCGCAAGTCCGTCTCCACCTCCCGCAGCTGCTGCTGGCTGGTCGTCAGTTGGTCTTCCAAGTCCCGGATCTGATCCTGGGCCGTGTCAGATTCCGACTGCTGCATGGCTTCCAACTCCTGCAAAATATAAAAATACCAATAGTTTCGGGGTTTATTTAGTCTAGATGGTTAAATATGGGCTCAAGGCACAAGTACAAAGAGTTTCTTTTCCAGCATGCTTGCAATGGGTTTGATCAGTCACAGACAGTCAAAAATATCCTCCACTTCTCCTGCCATGCATTTGTACAGGCCAGTAGAAGCAGTTAGATCACATTCGTGTAAACACTGTGACTAGTCAAATTCCATCAACAGACAAAAAAGATAACTGGTAAGTGTAGCTGGCATATTAATCACTTCCAGTCAAAGCATGGCTACATCAAAATAAGCAGGGCATTCGTAACTGTTAAAAACAGCCAACTGATTGATTTTGACTGCTGTAATGGCACAGCTGAATTTGCCAGTCAAAGAGGGATGGTTGGTGAAAACTAATCATACATATTCTGACCATACACATGCCGACCACAGCATAGATTGCGTTGCCCTACAGTGGGAATGTAAGGTTTTCAGGGTGCCACCATACCGGGTCCGAGGCGGATGACCTTGGCTTCTTGCAGGGGGGAACTTTAAGGACCCCTATGAACCCCACTGAATACAGGCCTGAGTATAGGTGCAAACACTGGGCACATCTGATGAGATGATGACAGGGGTCTTGCAGACAAGCACAAATTGTACACTTCTCATTCTCACACAAGACTGACTCGTGGTAGACTCTCGTGAAGGGATTTAAGGCATATAGGATCATGCAAACACTCAAAATCGAAACTACCGAAATATTATGAAAAAGCCCACTTGATTTTAAGCAAAGAACAGTAGGAAACATCCAGTGAAATCGTTGAGCCTGGTATTCTGTCATTCTAAGAAAAGAGGAATGTTGTATCAGTACTACTGATGGTTAGGACCTAACCATCACTGAGAACAAACAGTTTTCTCAAATACTACATCCGTTAAGAGGCCATGAGCAGGCTGTTGACTTCATGTGTACGCTCGGGTAAACTGTCTTAGGTATTTATGAATATGATTTAACAGCCCTTAAATAAGTCCGTTTCATGAAATTACAATCAATGCATATGATCCTATTACCTTTAACAAAGTGCCAGTGCCAATTAAATTACCATTTAACCATAACATCACTACACAACTGAACCTCCAACCTCCCAATCAACTGAAGGTCATTACCTGCAATTCGCTCCTGAGTTGCTGCATCCTCCCATTTGCCATCTGTAGCTCCTCCCACAAGCTATCCCTCTCATTCCTGAGCTCTTCAAGCTCTATCCCCGATGTGGATGAGCCTTCACTGGGGCTGGCACCGTCCTTCAGGCTGGCTATTAGCTTGTCTTTGGACTGGAGATTAATAATAGAAAATGTTAGACAGTAACTCTCTTGAACTCAAACAGGCACAATTGCAGAATACCCCGCCACTCGATCTATCCACCTCGTAGCCGGCTACGAGGTCACGGTTGGTTGACCTCAATAAACATTCTCAGCGCTACTTGTATGTACTATGCGTCATGCTCCATTGCACTCCCACTTCGTGACCGCGTAGCCGCCAAGAGGGTAGTTGGTTTGGACTTAGAATTTTTTCAGCAACTCCCATTCCTTTTGTGTTGCTTCGTTCTCAAGCATATTCAAGGGGACTCCCACTCCGTAGCCTCGTAGCCGCCAACAGGGTGGTTGGTTTGGACTTAGAATTTTTTTCAGCAACTCCCATTCATTTTGTGTTGCTTCGTTCTCAAATAATGGACCCCCACTCAGTATCCGCGTAGCTGGCAATGGACTTGAATTGTTTCTTTTGCAGTGATTCCAACCTCGTAGCCAGTGATTTTAGGGGTGTATTTCCGAGTGGCGGGGTATTCTGCAATTACTCCCTCAAACAAGGATAACTCAAATCTCTGTTTATCTCGAAGTAATAATCCATTCCCGTCAAGAGAATAGGATGTTATGTACATGAATACCCCGTAACTTGAAGTGCCCGCACCAGTACCTCCGTTTAACTCGAACTTTTGTTCGGCCAGTCCATAGAAAATGCTGCCAAAACAGTCACAAAGAAGCGTAACAAACAATGGAAAACTTTTTTTCACGAGACATAACTGCCCAATGACTTCGTCTTTTCACGTTGGGATGCAGTGTGCATGCTGCATTGTGATAATGTCATGTTTTAGGTAAAAACAATACGAAATTTGAGTAAAATGATGCTTTGTGACAAAAAAAATTAACAATTAAAATGAAAAAAAAAGGAAAATGTGCCCAAAAATTACGTGTTCACTGCATAGCGAGTAACAGTAAAAGCCATTCATGTATATGTGTACATGTAGATGACATTACTGTCGAAAAGTTGGGAACCTTGTTTAACTCAAACTCTGGATACCTCAAATTTTGTATCCATTCCCTTGAGATTTGACTAAATGGGAGTTTACTGTAATTATGCGCTGGTAGATGATACACGAGCAAATCACACAGGCTATTCCATTTTGAATAGGGGAATTGATATGCCATCTGTTTCTGATGTCATGAATATTATGTCTATACAAACGTTAATCAAAGAAAACCTAAGAAGTCAGGCAAACCGAGCACAGTATAGCACTTTCCTACCTGGAGTATCCTGGTAGCCTTCTGCTTGTAATCAGAAAGATCCTCCTTGGCCGTCTCCAGGTGGCTCTTGGCTGTCTTGAGTTGCTGGGCCAACTGATGCGAGTTGCCTGTCACAAAGGGAGGCTAAGGAATATGCAAAGTGACTGGAGTGGGATTGGAACCTGCAACCTCCGTAGCAAGCACTTCAGCCCTGTATTGAGTGTCTACAAATTTGTCAACGTCTTGGCTCAAGAAGCGCAAGTGTGAAGCCACAAACCAATGTGTGCCATGTGGCCGGGGATCAAGTCCAAAGTCACATTGCTTACAACATTAGTGAAGGCCGGTCCATACTTCACACGAATGTGAATGCAAGTTTGACGTCAGAGAAAATCGCTTAGAAATTCACCAGAGTTGAAATGTGTTCCACTTTTGCAAATTCGTAGTGTGAATACTGGCCATGACGTCACAAAGTCGTGTACATGTTCGCTTTCGTGCCGAGCATGAACTGGCCTTAATGCTACCAACATGACAAACAGCAGCCGGTGATCACGCGCAGTATTTGAAATCATTAAATAAACCATAAAGGAAACCCCTAGTTTCTCTTTGTGGTTCATTAGATGATATTTATTTTAGTCTTTACTGTACAAGTTACAGGGATGATGACGAGCAGAGCATACTGTTCGAAACGTCGAGTTAAACCAACTGGTTCTTCTCAGAACCACACAACTCACAAAGAGATATCATTCACATGGTGCTACCGCAAACCTCCCATTCATTGATCATGTCCACCATGTGAAACCTTAAGTGGGATTTATCTACAGGGATAAGATTGTCAATTTTTTTAAAAGTCTGAAAATGGAATGAAAGGTCTGAAAGACGGATATTTTTCTTTCGATACTGATAATGTCTTCTATTCAGATTCAAAAAGTCTGAATTCAGACTAAACTCTGCAAAATTTCATGCCTGAAGCTATCACATTATGAGGATAGGACAGCGTACAGACATGTAATGACTATAGGCATGTAATGACTATAGGCTCCGTGCGCCAACGAAAGAGGGCGCCCTTTTACCTAGCAACGACGTCCCATGGGCGGGACATTTAGCTGGTTGACGCGCACCGTTCCTTGTGTGTGACGCACGTACACCAGGGGATTTGTACACGCAGTGCTAGTGGTACGGCCGCGCGTCGCGGCAAAATTGCAGTCAGGCAAGATGGCGTCGGTCGGTCACCCCCAACTGTACTTTCTTTGCCGGTGAGGGGGTACTTGTGAACGGAGCGGATACACTCACGAGGCCCCCTTCAATGGAGAAACCATTGTGTATACTATTGTACTAAGCAACTGCCTCATGACGAATTATCTGAACAAAAGCTAGCACATATGCTTTTGCCATTGAGGGGGGCCTCCGTGATAGAATTGATAGCGTGCCTGGATATAATACCACTAGGCCAACTTCTTCAACTTCAGTTTACGTCAACTACGGATCTACAGTCAAGGATACTCTTTTCTTCATGGTATTTCTTCTGTGATGAAGTCAACGCTTCGGCCAGGTTCTGCTGTTCTGATTCCAGCTTCCCTTGCCTCTCCATAAACTCAACCTGGAAAAAAAACAAGAAATGAAGTTTTTAGACCACACTCCCCGCCAACTCAGTCAAGTAAGTCATGTGCCAAATCACAAGGACAGTTGTAAGTTAAGGAGAATACACGAGAAAGTGTGGATTCGTAATTTAAGAATTCACGAGGCGCGAAGCGCCGAGTGAATTCGTAAATTAAGAATCCACACTTGCGAGTGTATTCTTCGAAAAACCATTGCGTTAACAGAAGTATTGGAAAGAATGTTGCAACCTGACGCCACTTTTTTCTTCATATATCATCTCAATGAAGGTCATTCGTTGCAAAAATGATGATACGACATGAATCTGGGACTGAGAAATGTTTCGAATTTTGTTAGGAAATACTTGAAATGACTCTCCATAGACTTTGTACACAAGCGCGGAAGTGGCATCAGGTTGCAACATTTTTTCCTGGCGTGTTTAGCATGTGTATCGCCACACCGGTACAACCAAGTCATCGTGTGTGTATAGGCCCCTTACGTCAAAATGGATAGTTCAGACGACGATTTCTTTCTGACTAAAAGTAGATTTTGCAGTGACAGCGGAGAATCTGACAGCGAAGATGCATAGGTAATTTTCGGAAAGCAAATTTTCACGCAGACGGTCCTATTCATGCTCGTTATGGAGAATAATAGTCCGACGTGTTCAAAGTGTGGATTCATAATTCCGAATCCACACTTTACTAAAGATTCTTCATTCCGAATCCACACTTTGTGCCCAGTGTAAGAGATTTGTAGATCAGAATCCACACTTTTAACAATAGTGTGACGTCATAGCAATGGTTTAACACAGGATAAACCACAGTTTGTCCTTATCACAGTTTATTTAACAGCTTTTCATTTTAGTTTGAGACTGGCTGACTTGTGAATAACTGGTGGGTATGCATAAATGTAAGTACTTGTATGCATTTTATGTAATGGCGCATAGATCTTACCTGTGCAGTTTTATAGGCATCCTGCTCTCTCTTCAATAAGGACTCCGTCTCACCGAGTCTGTCCTTGACCGAGTCCAAGGCGTTGCTGTGGACGCCACTTGCATCGCTGTGGTCTCGAAGGATTCTGTACATGAAATATGAAGGGAAAAATAACTTTTAGGGAAGATGAAGTAATGATGATATGAGAAAATTGACTGCATTTTGATGCAGGAAGGCCAAAGGCACTGAATACAGTACTTATTGTAATATGTGAGATTATCAGTGGTCCAGTGATAACCCATCTACATGTAGCAAGCAGGAGGTCCTGGGTTCGAGGCCAAACCGAGCAGGTTTGTAAATTGTTTCTCCCAAGCTTTCAGACAGCAGTCTTAGACAGACACATTGGTGTAGAGCAATTCAACCCAACATTACACTGTAAGCAGTAACTGGAATCTGCACTGGTTAAAAAAGGCAAATGTACTGGTTTCAATAGGCCCTTTCACACTAGACAGATCTCTGGGTTGATGCGGGGTTGACGCGAGTTTTGAAGACATGAAGCCTTTCACACTTGAAGATTTTCAACCCCGCGTCAACCCTAAAATTGATTTCACAGCAGGGTTGAACTCAACCCTACTACAGACCACGGTTGAGATTTTCAACCTGGGTTGAAACTCTTGCCAGGGTTCAAAACAGTAGTACCGAGCGATATAAGCTTGGCTTGCACGAAACAAGTTTGAAACGATGCCGGGTTGAACGAGGGGTTGAAAAATTAAAAACTCAACCCTGGGCGGCATTGGTTCGCCCAGGGTTGAGTTCAGCCCGGGTTGAGAGGCTCTAGTGTGAAAAGGCCTAATGGGTCAGTTTACACTCATTGCATACATTCCACACACTGCAGCAACCTGGGCGATTTGGGGGGGGGGGGGGGGGGGGAAGGTGGTAATGAAGTTGACATTATGGAGCTAGCCATAACATTGCCTAATGAACCATTCATCAATGTGCATATTAACCCTAACTCCCAAGTGTCTTTTACTAAGTACCGGACTAAGTCCACCAAAATCCATCACTGGCCCTGCTTCAAATGCTTTAGGGCCAAATCCGCTGAAATCCACCAAAAGACCACCACTACTGTACATGTAGGTGGATTTTGATGGACTTGGTACAGATTAGATATTAGGGTGCTGTGGTCCAGTGGTTATGGTGTTCGACTCGCGTGCCGTGGTACATGGGTTCGAATCCTGACGGGGAACATGGTGCTTGTGCGCTTGGGCAAGGCACTTTACTACGATTGCCTCTCTCCACCCAGGTGTAGTAAATGGGTACCTGGTAGGAAGAAATTCCTTCAATGCTTGTGCGCCGTAATGGCAGCCGTGCTAAAGCCAGGGTGATAATAGAGCACCAGGAGCGTCACTTTGTGATGGACATGAGCGCTATACAAGACGCCATTATTATCATTATTAGATGGCTTGCCTACCAAAATCTCCGAAATGAGGAAATGGATTTTGATGGATTTGGGGAGGTAAGGGTTAATTCAAATGTTTACTACTGCGCAATATGCTGCTTTTTTGTTTCCACTTTCTGTTACCCTGTGTCTGTGTAGAAAAGGCCCTTCCAGTTACTAAGCGGACTTGGTCCAACAGCCAAGTGTGTATTTGAAGCCCCCTGAGTACTGACCTGTCTCTCTCTGACTGTAGCCCATCCAGCTGCCTGGCTTTGGCCTTCAGCTCTCCGTCTGCCTCCTGCAGACGCACCCGCAGGACGGCCAGCTGGGAGTTCTTAGCACCCAGCTCCTCGGTCAAGTCTTCCTCCCGGGCCTGCAGCTGTCGGATGATGCTGTCGCTGCTGGACATCTGCTGCTGGCGTCGCTGCATCTCTGACTTCACCTGCTTCAGCTCTGAGAAGTGATAAAAACAAAGGATGCAGGGGGAATAAATATCTCACTGCAAGACGTCTTTTCCTCACCTTCCATCTCAATGGCCCGGGTTCTATTCCCACCCAGGTTCAGATAGATAGATAGATAGATAAACTTTATTAAAATCCAAAACTGGAAATTACATGTTGTCGTCTCTCATTTAAAATATAAAAAAAATTCAACATACGCTACAATATTCAGGAAATAAATACACAATCACATCAAAACATTACAATTGCACACAGTATAAAGCACTAAAAACTTTAGAGCGTAAAAAAGCACATGTAAAATTAATGCAAAACCCATTCCCAAAGTAGAACCAGAATAAAGGACTAAGTATAAAAATTATGTCAAAAACTGTGAAAACCTGTTGCTTCTCAGATACCAGAATAAATTAATCCTTTGGATAAAAATCATCTTGTAAAATCATCATTATGACACTTAATGGCCCTGCCTGTGAAAAATGAAGAATATCGGTTTGTGTGTGCAACCACTGGTCTCAGTCTTCCGCTGCGTGGAATGATGTTATCCTTAAATCGGTTGTGGAGCGGATGCCCAGCATCTCCCCACACCAGTTGTAGCTTGTCACGCAGCCACATTGTCACATGTGGATTATGTTCTCAGACTAAGTCCCTTCTTGAATTTGTCGGTTCTTCTAAAAATATTCTTCTAGGCTTTTCTTCACACAGTATTACTTGGAAGACAAGTTTTTAGAAAGTGTCGGATTTTAAAGGTAGAGTATATCATTTGCAGCTATCCAAAAAGTAAGTGACAAAATTATTGCTGAAAAGCATACTTGGTTAAAGATAGTAATGACACTAAACTCCATGTGAAATTAAAGGTAGAGTATATCATTTGCAGCTATCCAAAAGTATTGACAAAATTATAGTTAAAAAGCATACTTGGTTTAAAGATACTAATTGCACTAAATTCCATGTGAAATTATTCTTTCTGGCATGTTGTCATTTTGAAGAACACAATAAAAGAAGGTCATTTCCAAAGATGCATCTAAAGATGCAATTTTTGGAAATCTCCGTAAGTAGTTCGTTCTTAATTCGATGAAGCCGTGAATTGGTGAGCGCAAGCATCGACAGACATTAGTCATGACTGTGATTGGTCAAAACATCATGGGGCTATTTAAACAGTCACAGACAGCCAAAATTTCCATCCATTTCCCCTGCTATACTTTTAACAAAGGCTAGTCACCAGCAGTTAGATCATATGACAAGCAAACACTGTGACTAGTCAAACCCAACAGACCATGAACACACAAAGCAGGCAAGTTTGGGGCACAGCTTGCTTATCAATTACCCATAGCCAAGGGAAATCTGTATCAAGTTACATAAACAGTCCCAGCCAGTGAATCTAGCTCTGGGAATGTTTCACCTTTGACAAACAGTCACTTGATTGACTGAAAGGACTACTTGGCACAGAATGTATGTTTGCATAGGAGCCTTAGGAGGGTTAATGGAATAATTCATTGATGAGGGAAGACCCTACCTTCTTGTGCCTTGCGTGCCCTGGCCAGGGCAGACGCCATCTCCTGGTTTAAAGACCCCACCTCGTTCTTGAGCAACTTGTTTTCCAGCTCCAGGGAGGACAGCTGGTGAGACTGTTCATCCCTCATGTTGTGCCCCACTTGGCTGGGGGCTGAGGGGTAGGACGGCCCCTCGTCTGGGCCATCCGAGCGGTCACTGTCCGAGATGTTGTTGATCACAGGTGGTTCGGTGCTGTCTGGCTGGTCATCACCAACTGACAGTAGCACTGCAGTCAGGACAATGGTCCAAGTTTTGAGAAATCCAGGGTGAGCGAAAAAAAGGAAACCCAAATGCCAGTACCAATTATCTAATGAAGATCTGCATGTAGCATATTCAAAATCTAGGATATGAAGGCCCAATTAATAAGCTTTCTTTCAGTACAAAAATCATTCAAATCACTCATGTACTTTTTAAGTTATGGAATTTTAAACACAAACACTGATTTAAAGTTCTGTCCACGGATCACAAAAAAGTAAGTGTTCTTTCAGCAAAACGAAAACAATTCAATATATCCCTATGTGAACTGTTTCGTTTTGCCGAAAGAACACTTACCTTCATTATAAAAATGGTCCTGCCATTTCGGTTTCCTTGTTTTTTTTACTCACCCTGTATGGTTGCCATATAGAAAGATAAATGCAAAAAGAAGAATAACACCATTGCTTTTATCACTTCTGAATTATCATCCATGAGGAAGACACCAAGAATGTTCAAAAATAAAATGCCCCACCTGGATTGTCTGTGGTAGGTGATGGGGAGTTATCCACTACGACCCCATCCACTCTTGCACTTTTGGATGACATGGTTGACGACGTGCTGGATTGTCTCGAGTGCTGTCTGCTGGCAGTGTTTCCTGTCCCGCTACTCGCAGCAGTGTTCTTTTTGTCCCTCCGTCGCTCGCTGGCAAGTGGCGAGGATCTGCCGGTGCTGGCCGTCGACGGTTTGTTCAAGAATTCAAAGAGTTTCTCGTCGTCCTGGTCGGTACGGAGCTTGGAGCCGCGGCTCTTCGACTGGGCCACCGGGGAGCCCAGAGCACTCTCGCTGGGCGTCCGGCGGATGCTAGCCGTGTTGGCCAGGTCGGTGGGGGTTAGGCTATAAGCACTGGCAGAGGTTGACATCTGACCCGGCGAGACCTGGCCATTTTGTTTGCCGGCGCCGCCAGTGAAATCGTTCTGATGGAGAGCTGCATCTCCGTTTGCGTAACTCTTTTTTTCTTGATCCGGTGTTGAAGTATTCAGAACCTGATTTGCCGACTGATCCAGTGAGTTTAAGAGGTTTTCAGCCTTACTGAACATCCAGGCCATGACGCAACACAATGGGAAGCTTTTCCAAGAGGAAAGCTGACTCAGAAAAGCAGTTTAAGTGCCATGTGCGTGTAACTGCATCCAATGTCCGCATTCAATCCAATTCATCTAAGGAACACAAATCACACACATTACAAAAGTTGAACTTAAAACTGATAATAAAACAAGTGTCTTTTCACGTTTTCTCCCTGAGCCTATATCATGTGCACAATCTCCAACTTAAAACTGATAATAAAACAAGTGTCTTTTCATGTTTTCTCCCTGAGCCTACATCATGTTCACAATCTCCAACCTGGCCAAAAAAATGACGATCAGTCATCAGCTCTCATGAATATTGTCTCCATAATGTTTCTCCATGGGATTTCAAAATGGCAGACACATTATGCGGGCGCGCTTGGGCAAGACTATGAATATGCATTTCGCAGTTCATGACCTCGAGTTTGTTGGGCGCGTAGTGTGTACGGCTGGTGATGCAGCCAGGAGCTGATGACTGATCGTCGTTTTTTGGTCAGATGGATGAAGACTTCTAGATAAAGGAACGTGTTTTCGAACAGGTATGAGTTCCTCTATGTCTAGGTACCCTAACTTTGGAAATTTCTGTCCTGGATGAAGGGCACTCCTCATGTCTGGCTCGTATAAGTGCGATACCTAATTATCCGCAGCGTTTATCACCAGGTCTCATAATTGGCCCCATCTGACGCCACCCGCGATATGCACTATAAAGACGGTGTCTGTGGTCGGTTCCCAGACCAAGAGACTCTGACGTCACGTCAACAACGCTTCGCGTGCAAGTTAAAACTCAAACTGCAGCTTCGTTATGGAAAGGGGACTGTTTTTATCATATTTTTTGCACCATTTTTTTTTGCACCATCGGGATCGATTCAACCCTTACACTTTAAGCGAACAAAGCGTGAGTCTTGGGGTACAAATATACAGCGGCCGCTCCAAAACTCACTTCAATATTATTCGCAGAGTATACAGCATGTTCACATTGATATGCCCATCTATGGGTATAACGTGTAGGCCTAATACCCATAGTTCTAGGGGTACGCAGCAAAATCGCAGCCACACTAGTGGGGCTAGACTAGAGTTGAATATCATCTAACTTAATCTTTAGGAAAGTGGGCGGGTTTTGGTTAATGAAAAGAACTTGTGAAATATTATAGAGGTGTCCTAAACTACACGATATACGTAAGCAGTTTAAAGCTCAACATCAAACTCAGAAATTGTCAGACGTGTCAGACACACTCACACTTGTCACTACACAGATAAATTTAATGGCGATCGTGTAGTGTAGAGCCCGGTTCCTAGTATAAGGGAACAAAATCCACTTTAAAATTATTGGACCTACCAAACTAGTTGGCTACATTCTCAATATTAACATTAAAAAATAACAGGTATGTCATAGATAGAGCCGAGGGCAGGGTTTTGATTTTTTGAGGGAAATTTGGGGCTAAAATGACGATGACAGCGCGGCGACCCGAAAATAAAGATGGCGATCACCGCGCTATGTCCCTACGTGAGCACGCACGGTGCGCTGAATCGCAAGGCACAAACTGCGCAGGAAAATTGTGATTTCTACACCAAGAATCTGTTCAAAATTACAAAACAGGTGTCATTAGAATTGACGAAACTCTGCTTTTGATTGTAAAGGTGATTTTTGAGCAATAAAAAACAATTTTGACTCTTATTTCATCAAAACAAAACCGCAGTGGCTATTGTTACGGCAGCCGTAACGCATTTCCCATTTTCTATCGTTACGGTAGACTGCAACTTTTATAAAAACATATTTTATTCAAATAAAATTTGAAAGAAAAAAAAGTGAATTTGAACGTTATGAAATTCGGACTTTATTTCCCTTTAAAAAAAAATCCTCCAAAGCCTCAGGTTAGAAAAAGGAAAAAAAATCGAGTGCAAAACTGAGATACGAACCCGCAACCTCGCGGTGCAAAATCCTACCCTCTATCATGTCTATCGACTGAGCTGTCGCACTGCTCGCTAGATCGTGTGGAAACAAATAATTATTTTGGAGTAATTGCAGAATACCCCGCCACTCGGAAATACACCCCTAAAATCACTGGCTACGAGGTTGGAATCACTGCAAAAGAAACAATTCAAGTCCATTGCCAGCTACGCGGATACTGAGTGGGGGTCCATTATTTGAGAACGAAGCAACACAAAAGGATTGGGAGTTGCTGAAAACATTCTAAGTCCAAACCAACCACCCTGTTGGCGGCTACGAGGCTACGGAGTGGGAGTCCCCTTGAATATGCTTGAGAACGAAGCAACACAAAAGGATTGGGAGTTGCTGAAAACATTCTAAGTCCAAACCAACTACCCTGTTGGCGGCTACGCGGTCACGAAGTGGGAGTGCAATGGAGCATGACGCATGGTACATACAAGTAGCGCTGAGAATGTTTATTGAGGTCAATCAGCCGTGACCTCGTAGCCGGCTACGAGGTGGATAGATCGAGTGGCGGGGTATTCTGCAATTGTGCCATTATATACCTGCGTGCGAATCCAAAAAGTATCGTAGAGGGCGCTAAACAACGACTGCCGTAACGATAGCCACTTCGAAAAAAAACAGGGGCCCTACACTTCACGATCGCCAATTAACGAGGATCATCACTCTTCTTTCAAAATCGGAATTTTCCGAAAATTTAAACTACTTTTTTTACTCAAACATCCATATGGTTTAACAATGACAAGAGTTGATATTCTAATAAGTGGTTTTTCTAAAATGTTATTACGATTACCTGAAATGTAGAAGTAACATTCTAACATCAATTACAGATTTTCACATCAAATGTAAACACGTACGTACGTGGAGCTTGAGAAGTGACCTTTAATAACCTCTGTCGAAAATTATAGATTTAAATGTTGAATTTACTCTTTAATACAATTTTTTTAATACCTTTTACGAATAAAGTAAATATAATATTTCGTTGCATATTTATTGCATTTTTTTAATTTAAAAATTATGTATTATTTATAAGCAATTATTAGATCAATTAAAACAAAGTATTCTTTCACCGTTTTAGCTTCGCTCGTAGACTGGTTCCCACTCCCATGAAATGGGGACCGGTAGCTAGTTCCCATTTAAAGCCATTGATTGGATCGCATGAGCGTTAGAGGTGTTGCACGTGATGGAACACATGTATATCAAAATACTGACTCTATTATAACCAGGGGCTAATTTCATAGAGCTGCTTAAGCACAAATTTTGCTTAAGCACAAAAAAATCTTGCTTAATATAATCAGGTTACCGGCCAAAACTCCACTCGATTGTTATGCTAACAACAGCTAAATACCAGTCACAAGCAATGTACATCGCATGGAGTTTTGGCGGGTTACGTGATTTTACTAAGCAATGTTTTTTCGTGCTTAAGTAAATTTTGTGCTTAAGCAGCTCTATGAAATTGGGCCCAGTTGGCAAAATCGCCACTGAGGAAATTTGAGGTGCCCCGCTCTTTTAATAGTCTAGAGAAATAGAAAATCAAAAATCGAAACTCCACTAAGTTAGTTGCGTAGCCAGGAAGGGGGGCACCAGCCTATAATAAGGGTGGTACAATTAAGGGCGGACCCAAAACGAACTTTCCAGGTGGCGGGGAAAGGGGGCGGCGCTGGGCCTCTTTGAAGCTTGGGGCGCGCCCTTTGTTCAACCAATTTAGCCGTAGGGTAACTTAGGGAATTAATTAAGGGGATCAAATTAGGTTATGCCCAACCTCGTCACCAGGGTGTCGAGCAATACGCGCCCACCACTACCTGCTCTTACTATTGGAAACGAGGTTGGAAATAAAATAAACACTGGGGACGAGGTTGGGTTTTGCCCTTCACTGACGTATAAACACTGTATCAGTGTGTTTGAGTGAAAGTTGGAAAAACTCACTCGGGTGGGACTTGAACCCACGACCTAGCTCCTGCTTTCTAGTGCAGATGTCTTACCACTCGACCACCGAGCTGGTTCGAATCAAATGTACATAGCATGCAGCGGGTACGTACCGTTCATATAAGATGGAATTTTTCGTCGAGGTGATGTAAATCAAATTAGGTCAGTTCGCCCTTCACCGATGTATAAACACTGTATGCTCAATTACCTCCCGAGAGAAAGTTGGAAAAAAATCACTCGGGTGGGACTCGAACCCACGACCTCCTGCTTTCTATATTGCAGATGTCTTACCACGTACTCGACCACTGAGCTAACGGGATCGGTTGGCTGGTTCGAATCAGATGTACATAGCAGCAGGTACCGCATCAACTATTCATATATAAGATGGAATTTTGTGTCAGGGTGATGTAAATCAATTTATGTAATTTATGAAATTACACTTTTGTATACATGCAAGGTTAGCCTGAACCACAACCTGCAAGTAAACAAAAGTGCATCCGTTGTCGGTATCAGTTGTCATAATCCCCCCCCCCCCCCGCTCTAAAAAAAATAAAAAAAAAATTCATAGTACAAGAATCCATATTTTGACAGCATATGCCATCATAAATTAATTAGCACACACATTATAATTTATATGTGCCGAACGCCATATTTAGTGGCCATCTTAGATATCTCAATTTCCTCAAGGATGCCGAGGTGGCGTCATCAAGATGTGAACGGTAAAATCGGATTATTGGACTCGCCGACGGACTATTAAGTCATCAGCATTTTATCGTCTGATTCTCATTTCTAAAAAGTAGCCCAGGCCTGCGCTGATGACATTATGCAAATAACATGTTTAGAATATTTTCACGTAGGCACCTATTGTTAAATTCATGCCTCACTGATCACTAGGTGTAGCAGCATGCTGGGCGTCATCTCAAGCTAGTGGAATAATTTGTTTCAGTACAAGGGTGCATATGGGCCTATACTGTCGTTGTGCTCCTCAGACTCACAGATACACATTTTAGTTACAGCTGACTTTAATTATTAAGTCACTTATACGCTCCAAGACATAGCCTGCTATTCCTTCCTCCATGGTATGAGTTGAATTGTTCCATTTTGTACTTAGCTCTGTGTAGGTACGTGTCTTAATTAGTGGTTGGTGTTGGCGCACAGTCACACGCAATAAATCGCCAGCACCATGCACCAAGATCAGCGCCAAGAGGGGCAAATATCTTCAGAAGAGTCGAACTCGAAGAGGTACGTTACATGTCTCTGATTAATGTACATGATTATAAGGTTCTTCATCTTCAAAACGTATTGTTTTGCATTGTATCAATAATATTTAAAGTTATATAATCAAAGTGAAGGGTCGGCGGCCATTTTGAAAAGAGTACAATTTAGGTTATTCCGTTTAATTCGATGTTATTCAAACTATTGTGCAAGGCCCATATTTTTTGGTCCAAGTATTATATTACATTTGCATTTGAATTCGACAGACACGTGCAGTGACACTGTGTTCGCATGTAAACTATAAAATTCGCATAGGAATTCGGCAGACACGTGCAGTTGATATTGTGTTCGCACGTTGAAAATAGTATTTGCATAGGAATTCGACAAATACACGTGCAGTGACATTGCGTTGCACGAAGAAAGTATTATTTGTATAAATTATATAGGAATTTGTTTCACACGTGCAGTGACATTGCGTTCGCACGTAATATAAAATTTGAATAGGAATTTGACAGACACGTGCAGTTTTGCAGTGACATTGTGTTCGCACGTTTGTAGATAAAATAGTGGGCGCGGTTATAGGCTCCGTTAATCCCAGAAAGTTTTGATTTTGGAAAGACTTGTGCCACTGGTCAGGTGTTGTTTGGTGGCTTAGCGGGTATATAATACACTTATTTCAGGCCCGGAAAAATGCTTTTGTTTTAAAAAAGCGGTGGTAGAAAAAATAATAGTCTGTCGCCAGAAACAGAGAACTCCTTAAAATTTATTGGGTGTTAAAAAAAGTTTAAATCCTTACACCAAAGATTACAGCTGAAGGTTGACCGAATATAATTGTTTTTCGAGGGTAAAGTTCCTTTTATTCCAACTATCAATAGCCAATACAGCAATTTGTCGGATACGTGCAGTGACATTGTGTTCGCACGATGAATAATCGATGAGTACGTCTGTAATTTCTCTTGAAGGGTAGCATTCCAGTGGAAGCTTTCTTTTTCAAATTGTTTTTAGATTATTTCTCACGAAGGGACGGGCATGTCAGAATTGACATTTTTTTTTCAAGTTTGAGGGTTTTTCACTATAGTTTACTTTAAAAAATGGTGCAAGCATTCTGACATAATTCAAAAATACTTTCAATAATTTACACCAGTATTTTCAATGATAAACCCGTGACAGTGTCTCCTGCATTGTCACATTGACTTCCAGGTTTTAAGAACTCATTTTCTAGAAAAGGCAATCACAACCCCTTGGTCTCAGAAACTAAATAAAATGTAAACGTTATATAAACTAAACATCTTGGGCTAAACATTGGTGCAAGTGATGCCAAAAAAAAAAAAAATTGGGATCTTTGTATATGTAAAGTTGGGAGGAGTGCAGACGCAGCTCGCGTGCATAAGCAGCAGCACAAAGCAAAGCAGTTGCTTAGGATCCTAGCTAGGACTACGTCTTATTTCTGAACAAAATCCAAGCCAACATGACAAAGGAAAATCCAAGGAAAATCCAAGATAATAGTTGGGCAAATCGGTTGGCATGTGGTACAATGCTGGTCAACATACCAACTGCCTAAAGTCTTAGGCAAATTCTTTCAAATAGACCTATAGTTGGCCAATTTTTACTATAATTAAATCATCAATGAGGCAAATTTGCTATAATTTTTGGCAAATCTCGGTTTTGTTTTAAACCGGAGACAGTCATTTTACCACGTACGAAGACCTTGAAGGGACATGGGGAATTATTTATTATTTTTCATATTGCATATACGTACGTGATAATTATGACGCTCATGTACGTTCTTGTTATTATCACGTACGGAATTGATTGCTTACGTACGTAATAGTATATTATTACATACGTAGGTAATACTATCACGTAAATACGTGATTGCGTACGCTATAATATTGTGTACGTACGTAACAGTATATATATTATCACGTACTTGCGCAATAATACGCATGTATATAAAAATGTACAATAGTATACATGTGCAATAATATACATGTACGTACGGAATAATATTTCGCACGTACGAAATAGTATATTATCACGTACGTAGGAAATCACGCATGTCCGTGATTATTATTACGTACGTATTTATTATCAGGTACGTACGCAGTAATATTGCGTACGTACGTAATATTTTATTATCACGTACGTATGTCATAAACTTTATCACATACGTACGTAATCATTATTGCTTTACCTAACTTAAATAAAAGTTCTCCATATCTCCTCTAGGTCTTCGTACCCGGTATATGCGATTTCGTGTACCATGCTTCGCCAAATAATCAGTGATAAAATCTAGGGAAATGTTTAGAAAGGTGTAGGCAAATGAACAGTGTTAGGGAAAATGAAGCAAACGAGAGTTAGATTAGGGAGCAAGCATATAGCCCGCTGCGAGCATGCGCACACTGAGGCAGCGCGATGGGAGGGCTGGGTATGGGGAATGAGTTTTAAAACGACTAGGCCCTACTTATAATGTAAGCCCTGATCATAATGCCCTCAAAGTTTTAGACGTTTTCTGAAACAATGTAAATAACTTAATGCAAACGAACTCAGTCTATGAATGATGACGCTGTGCCATCTTCATTATTGAATTTTTTTTTATTCCCCCCAAAATTGAAAGTACTGGTGTGGTTTGTTTGTTTCAGTATCAGAAACTTTAATCGTAAATTTAAAACTGATTTCGTAATTACCTGATAGTCGTTTTGTGATATTTTATCAATCCACTGGAATACTGCCTTTTGATACGGA